CTCGTACACACAGAATTCGATACCTACGTTTGACGCCCATAATGTACGGTACGAGCCCGCATAAATTATTTTCGTCTCCGAATAAAATTATGTACCCGCGAGAGACAAAGGCACGGCGGTCTCTCGATAAATGCCGAGAAAATACATCGTTTAAAACCAACAAAATAATCTGCTTTTCGGCTTCTTATTTTAGAGCGGTCCACCGTTTTGGTTAGTTATTTTGAAAATGCATTAGAAATTTCAACAATATTTTCAAGTTTTTGACAATAGTTTAGCTGTGGGTCAAGAACAATTCCCAAATCTGTTCCTCTTTATTATCAGGCATTAAGTTAATATCCATAAAAAAATAATTCCGTGTAAATATTAAGAATTAAGAGTAATCAGGTGGTTTTTACTTTTAAATCATCGGCAAAAAAGCATAAGCAGAAACCGGGAAACAAAGACGAATATAGAAAACAAAAATATTATGGAGTTGTTTTTGGTTACGCAAACTATTTGCCAGTCTTTTCGGGTTCTACTAGTTTTCTGTCACGCATTTGTCATACTCTCAGCAATATTTTATGGCGACCAAATTCTTTGCAAAACGCTGATTCAAATGCACAGATCGCCGACCTTTCGGCGCCTCGAAAAAACAAAAATATCTCGTCTTTACGATCCCGACTATATACACGGAAGAATTATATTTGCTTTTTTAAAGAACAAAATAAATAGCTCGGCTATAATTAGAAAGCCTTGCGCACATTTTCAAAATCGCCTTCTTTGTTGCCCGTCCGTCCGCACGCACGCATACAAACTTAAAACGTAGAATGCGAATGTCGTTGACTGATCCGCGCGATCGACGCAACGAGACGATGCGTCGTTGTTCGGTGAAATGACTTTCCCGATAAACGCAGCAGGTTCAAGGATTTGTTTTCGCCAAAAAACAAAATCGACACGCGAAAACAACACACGATCGTGCGATTCCCAGCGTTCGGTTGCCACGCGTCTCGAGGCGCCACCTGTCGGTCGCTAAATCGAAACGCGCGCGTAAACAAAAGGACAAAGAGGTTGGGAAAACAAACGAACACACGCCGACCAGGCGTTTGCCGCTCTTTTGTTACTATTGGATCCAAAAAGTGAAGTTTTAAAGTTGATAGCTGCAAAATTGATGTCAATTTCGGTACGCTATGTGGCGCGCAATCCGATTTTGACTGGAACTTGATCGAGGTCGATGGGAAAAGCTACGATTTGTCCCAGAGAGTGAGACATCTCCAGATTTGATGTAGTTTTGCGTATAATAAGGAGCCGATACTGTAATCTGACGGATTTTGAGAGGAATGGGATTGAAATCAATTGGAATAGCTTTTTTTTAACCCAGAGTGAAGTTTTTTGTTGATATTGGATGTTTGATGTAGCGTAATCTGACCGAACTCCACAAAGAAATGTTTACTATATGATCCAGAAATTGATTGATTTCGCTAGAATAAGTGACTGGAAACCCGATTTTGATTGTAATGTGAGATAAGTAGTTAATAGTTATTAGTTGTACAATTGTCTATTAAGAGATGAATTGTTTGGCACTTAACAGTTTATATGCATTTTTCTATATGTAAAATCGATGTGACCCATACGCCAAAGAAAATAAATATACTGGAATTGTCTCATGGTAGTTGAAGGTTATGTTTCATTATTTCTGTTTTGCAAGAGCGTTTATTTAGTTAATATGTTCAAGTCCCAGTCTGTGCAACTGACGAATAAAGATTATACACGAATTAGAATAAGAAATCGAAAGAAGATGGCGGTTTATGAATCGGTTATAAAGTAAAAATTAAGGAGAGTTCAAATTCGTTGAAAAAGGATTTAAACGAACTTTGAACAGTTTGGAGATGTCAAAAGAAAGCTGTGATACAAAACTAAGGCATGTGGAAGCCCAAATGGAGAAAATGAACTGTTTACATTATTTTTATTGGTCCATGTTTAAAAATAAATGGTAAAAAAATTGGTAATAACATAACCTAGTTTTTTGATTTGTATTGTTTGGCAGTACTTTGTTCGTGATCCGTCTTTATGAATTAATTCGTGAATATATTGTAAATGTAAAACTAGAATCAGTGTTATTATTATAGAGTGTTACTGTAAGTTTATTAGACTTTGTGATATGTCGGTGTCCTTTGAGAGTCCATTAATTCGCAGAATAAAAATTCCTCAGCTGTGTTAGCTCCTTCTGACGCTTAATACTATTGTGGTATACGTTGGAAATCCTCTGTCGCGGAAGCTCACATCTTGATACAAAAAAATAAGTTCTAAATAAATTTGGTAATTTTTTTTATACTTTTGTTTAGAATTTTTTTAAATTTAGAACGCTTATTTTCTCTCTTCTAAGCGGAGTATAATAAAAGTCACGACAAAATTATTTCCTAATTTCCATTTAATGTATTTGTTTGTACCGAACGATTATGCGGATTTCATCTAAACGAGCGTTATCTCTAATCTTTAATCGCTATCCGATCATGTATCATTGTTATTGTGAAGATTATAATTGTTATTCTTGAGTATATCTGTTGTTTTTCGTATAGAGAGATCTCTACGGTTTCGTATTCGTATCAAAACATTTGCCAAAATGAAAACGATCCGTGGAAAAGAGAGGTCTACATCACTTTTGAGCAATTGTAGCGGCAAGACATCACGTGGTTTATTACCCGCATCGCGCCCATCCCCATCAACGGCTTCCATCTCCTTAACACTCGTATGTCTACGAGAGTGTTTCAATCGCGTAATTAGCTCGCCATCTGCGTTAAACGCCTTTTCGGGAAAAATCAAAATAAGCGAGTGTATACCCAAGCGATGCCGTCATCCATTGTCCCCCCCGGTTTATGAACCGGAAACAGCCGTATTTTGCCTAGCGAGCGTCACCCGTTGACATTGACCTTGTCTGGGTGCAAATGTCAACTTGCAATTAATACAAAGACCAACGTAACTTCCTTACGATATCTACGATATTTTTACATTCAATTATAATTAATGTTAATAATTATAAACACCACATATATTGAATTACATAACAAATACTCAAGATCTAAGAAACAGGTCGCGAAAACAGCCGTCAATCGTTAATCATTGGCTTCATCCGTCAACCTAAAGCTGTGACGTCGCAATCAAAGAAACCGGTCATGGTTTGGGCGCAAATCGGCATCCTATGGCAGATATTCCGAAATTAAGAAGTACCAGTCACAAAATATTTTTGCAATATCTTAAATGTTATTATTAGCACGCTAGTTGTTGGCCACCGAGTTTTCAAATTTTTAATTTTGACTTATCGGTGCCTGGCAAGGAAAAACAACTTTAAAATTAAGGCTTCGTCAAATACCAGAAAAAGAAATGGTGCAATTAAAAGCGAAGCGTAAGAAGCCATAGGACAAAATAAAAATTATTCCAATACACACCGGGCGGTTAAAATACACGAAGAAAGCGAAACTTTTTTACAATTTGCTTAATATTTTTTGCCCGATTTTGTTGAAACTTGACTTGGTGTAATGATAAATGGATAATTCTGGTTTAACTATATTAAAATTGTTAATTCCATTGCCGTGCCGGTAGGTTTCTTAACGCATAACATTGTCAAAGAGATATACGCCATTGACTTTTTGCAATTTTATTCCTTTTTTTATGATTAATTACATTAATCATTAATAAAAAACGGCTTTAATTAACGCTACTTAGATACTTTTTGAGGTTAAGCCTCATTTTTTCCAGATCATTTTCAATATTTTATCAGTTTTGCAGTTCTAACCTTTGTTTGTGAATAATAATTAAATAATAATAAATACATTCAGTAAGTCACTAAGAGTACAACAAAAACGGCTTTAATTTATGTCCCTTAAATATTTTTTGTTGGTAAGGCTAATACTACTACTATATTTTACTCTTGAACATAGATTCCGGGTAGTTCTGTTAAATAATAAAATAATATTCAACAATTTGAACAAGTCACATCAAAAACGGTTTTAATTTGTATTATTTAAATACTATTTAAGGTTAAGGCTTATTTTCTCCGGATCATTTTGAATATTTTACTCTTGAACACATCTACTGGACAGTTATGACCTTAGAACCTCAAAAATGACTTTAATTTATGTAACTTAAATAGTTGTTGAGGTTAAGGCTCATTTTTTCCAGACCACTTATTATATATATTATTATTATACTTTTGAACACATTGTGCTGGGCAGTTTTGACCATTTTTGTTCTTGAATAATAATAAACATTTGGAATAATAGACTAAAAGTACATCAAAAACCGATTAAACTTATGCCACTTAAAAACTTTTTGTGATTAAGGCTCATTTTTATCAGGCGACTTTCAATATTCTGACCTTGTTTTTGTTCTTGAATAATAATAAATCAATAAAAAAAACTTTGAATAAGTCAGTAAAAGTACATCAAAAAGACTCGCGCGAAATTACCTATGCAAGGAGTAAAAAAAGTGGTAAGTTTTAAAATTGCAGTGGCGTACATCCCTCTGAAAAAAACTATTTGTTATGAAATTTACCGGGCCGGATTTGGCAATGTTTATCATTATCATCATGTTTATCATTAAAAATGATCTAGTCCAATTTCAAGAAAATCGGATTTATTATATTTTAACACCCACCTACAAGGTAATGTCCGTTTGAATGAGACTTTTTTATTATTTGGCGTTTTTCTTCCCCAGTATAACTCATTTGAAATGTAATTTATTTAACTTACGCTGCGGATCTTTGTATAATATAACAGAGTAAAAATCTTCAACCTTTTGGATCTACACATTTTTTTTTCAAAATTAACCCTGTAGGTGGGTGTCAAAATATCATGAATTACCCTGTACTTAGAAATTTCATTTTCTGAGGTACATCGATATTTTGGTTATTGTTTATTTGTGTCTAATTATAAGTGCCATTGGCGTGCGCCGACGCTGGCCAAACCACCCGGAAATATGTGACCCACTGACGAAAATAAACACTACAGAGAAAAAATCTGACTTACTTATTACATGGATCATAAACGATCCGAATACGACCATCCAACCCCAACCACCGTCGGGGGCGGGGGGACTCTCGCTCTCCTCCTCGTCTTCGCGTCGCTTCATCGCGTGGTGTTCTGCCATATTTGCGTGTGCGTGTGCCTTCCTGGCGCACTACGAGTCGACACGGACGCACCACGTGTACTGAGGATCGCTCGCAGCGCAACTACCGTCGAGCTTTCCGTTTTTTCGCGTGCGTCGCTCGATTTGAACTGGCTGCCGCATGGCGCTTTCACGTCGACGAGCTCTCGGATATGATAAAAGGGCCGTTATCGGTTCCCCCACTCCCGAAATCGACGATACTGCGGACGGTAAATGACGATGATGACGCGGCTTTTTACGTTCCAACCTCGGAGCAGGGTAAATGTCAAACTTTGACGTTTGACCCTACGGCGTCAAACGTCAAAGTTTCTAACCTCCAAACCCAAAATCTAAGTAGATCTGAAATTCAATATGGCGTCCCAGGGCAAACAAACAAAGCAAATAATTTTGCTTTTTTTTAGTTCTCGGTATTGTTAGTAGTGTTGTACCATTTGTTAGTGTAAAGTCTGTTCATAGATATAAGAAAGTGACTAACAGATACGAATTAAGGCAAGACCCGGGCAAGCTGTAAGAATGAAATATGGCCGAACAGGTCCGTACTTTGCTTGAGTTTCTTCGCTTCTTTTTTCCTCGCTGAAATGGGATTATTCACAATTTTCCATACAGTTGATGTCGGAATTTTCGTCAATGTGGCGGTTTCTTCTTCTTGCTGGCACCTCTTTCGATGAGAGTCAAATAAACATTGTTTATAACTTCCTTAGTGTCAATAGAATACACTAGACGCACACGATTAAAGTAAGTAGCATACCAAACCAAAGAATATTAAACACAAGGAGGTATAAAATTATTTTCTATCACGGACCACAATTTTACCTGAATTTAAATTCCGAAACTTTAGGTAATAATCTTGTTGCATTGTTTATTAATGACCACTCTTGGATAATTCCACTCAAAAGCAATTGGTCACTTTCTTATATCTATGAACAGACCATACTTATATTATTATCATTATTATTATTTGATATATAATTAATTGTCATAAAATACGAAGACATGGTTACAATACATTCCACGAACAGAATAAATACAGTTTTCATTCCACAAGCGGAACCTGTCAGGGGAAAAAATACGTTGTACGTTGCGGAAACCGAGTTTTGTTGCAATGCGCAGTTAAAAGACACTAAACGTACTATATACCTTTAGCACTGTTTCCAACTGAAAAAAGAAACGATATTCAAACCTATTAGTTGATTATATCTTCCCGGCATCTTCAAAAAGTTCACGACAAATCAACGTCAATTTTCACGAATATATTTTGAAAGGTACATGTCTCTGTCCGTCGACATAGATTAATCAAACATCAGGTATTGGAGTTCAAGAAAAATGCATTCTGCATTTTTTACAGTAAACAGAAAATATACAAGGTAGGTCAAACAGTAGATATCGACACCAAAATCATCAAAACTATTTTATTAGACGTTAAAAATACCATTAACTTCTTGACAATGTTTTAATTAATTTTCCTTATTTCGTATCTAATTCTAAATTTGAAGTCATCTAAATTATGTGGTTTTTCCGTGTACACTTTTGATTTTTCTCGATCCTCTGAGGAAAAAATCCAATGGAGTTATGTCTGGTGATCGTGCAGGCTATTATATTGATACAGGTATTTAAATCTTCACGCCATTATAGAGCAAACCAAATTAGTCTATCTGACATATCAGGCTGATTTGGATAAGAGGAAGTAGACATTAAGTAAGTCCGATAATTTTGTTAAAGAAAAAATCCATTTATTTAGCGTACCATAAACAAAAGTTACGATATTTGACCTAAGTTTAAAGAACCTGTATGGGTCCAAGATATAGTTTTCGGCTTGTCCAGAAATTAACTTAATCACCTTAACTTTTAAGAACGTTGATTCTCGGCGAGTTTTTTTTTTTGAGTGACAGTTTTGACGTAGGGCTTTGTCTTTTTATTACCTTCGTATTTATTGGCAACACCGCTGTCAGCTGGAAGTTGTGCTCCCTGATAAAAATCTAAAAGAATGTTCAATTTTTAGCAGAAACAGTAATAATAATAAAAAAAAAAATTCAACGTTTCGTCCATTTCTAGGGTAAATCGACATTGAAATAATAACGCTAGCTTGATTAGTTGCTGTCTAAAAAGCGACTCCTTCAGAAAATACGTCTCTCCATAAGTAACTGCTGAGAAAACTGGAGAAAATTAATTTTGGCAAAAACCATATTTTCTAGAAAAATTGTTCTTGTTTAAAGTTAAAAAAGTACTGGCTAACTTTCATACCAATTAATGAGACAATTACGTAGTGAAAATGTTGTACATTATTTTGAACTAAAATTTTGTGGTGTAGATATCAGAAATATGCCTGCCTGGGGGACATTCGTCAGGTTTATGCATGATCTGTCGAGCTTGACAATGCGAAAATCGAATCGAAAAACGAAGCACAGAGAATTGGACATCTTCGTCTTTTAATAGACTTAAACAATACTTTCATTGAGATAATTTATAATTTCACCATTCAAAAGTTGTTAAGGCATCGTCAAGGTCAGATCCGCCCCTAAATCGCTTGGATTCCTTATCTCGGGTTCCTTGAATTTTATTTTCATTTTAACAAAATTGGTGGCGGTATCTTATCTGGTTGTTAGCTTATTTTCGGTTACGTCATCCTTACCCAAATTCTACGGAAGGCAAACAGTGACGCAACGTTTGACGAACGAGCAAAAGCAAATGCTACCACAACCCACGTGGATTGTTGCATCATTCGAAGACTCATTACAATGGTAAAAGGACCATTAAAAACTGTAAAAATCAGAATAAATGATTTATATTTTGGCATTAGAACTCTCAATTTTCATTGTGTTGGTTTTCGCCGGTCCCACCCCAATAAAACTTTAACGAAGTTATTGAAAATTTGAAAATTACATTCCTAATATTTTTTTTTAGTGTGGTTGTCCTTAAAACATTTTCCAACACATAGAGGAATTTCGCAATATCCGCACATGAAGCAAGTCTCTCTCCTTGTGCCGTGAATTTTGCAGACTCTGCACCGTTCCTGTGGAAAATTCTTTCCCCGAACTTTTAAGTTTTAAGTTATATCTCCTACTTGGTGGATCTTCACGACAAGCTCTTTTTGATAGCCCTTCAGAAACTTCTGCTTCTAAACCCACATTTTCTTGAATTTCGACCCAACTTCTAGCAACTTCTAGTAAATAAGAGGTAAATTTTAGTTTCTTTGCCGGGTTCAATTTCTTGTACATCACAAATGAATTAAATAACGCGCAATTCGACATAAACATAAAAGCCTTTTTTGTCCATTGTCCATAATACTTTCTGGTTTTTTAATAATTTCACCAGTTTTACTGATGTATCGCTGAGATCATTCATCATTTTCTACGGAAAACATGGTGGCCTCTTTTTAACTTTTTTTTTATATCTTGAGGTAACCGACGATTTTCTCTAATTATACCACATAATTTTATCTTCCTCGAAATAATAGTTAACCATGTAAACATGGTACCAAATATTTTCATATTTATCTAAAAGATTTTTTACCAGATTTTGCAACTTTTGTCCACTTCCGTTGTAGAATTTGGACTTCGTTATAATATTCTGATAAGCATACCATACTTTCCATTCAAAATCGTCTTCTTCCATTGTAAAACAGGTTAAATAATAAATTAATCCACATTTATTTAAGAACTGATAAAAAGCCACTTAAAATAAATCGACTGTTTGATGGCACCAAGTTATTCTGTCAAAAACGTACTACTACGTCAGCGGCTACTGGATTTTAAATAAAAAATGACGTATTATTACGTCATGTGCGTTCAAAAAAAATATTTTACGGGAATATAGGAATATCGTGTCGAATTCATTTCTTGCTCGATAAGCAATTAAAAAATAGTATGTATGCCATAATTTGGCTGAATATGCTGGAAAAAATGTTTTACTTCTTTCTCCCTATCATTTCATGGAGCATTTGTGGAACAAGTAAAATTAAAAGCCAGAGCCGAAAATGTTACTTCTACTTTAAGTCCCAGTGTTGTAAACGCGATAAAAAAAATGTAATTAATAACATACTGCTGCAAAAAATCAGTACAGTACATTATAAAAATTGGGGATTCTTACATTTCTATACAAAACAACTCTAATAGTGAAACAGAATTAGATTAGACATGTAAAATAAAAATATAATTATGTATAGATATTCGTAGCCTTGAATTTATTATCTGCGGGCAAAAGCCTACGCCATGCAGATTAAGACAGACTATAAACGCCAGGCCTCTTGATTAAAACCAGTCAAACAACACACATACTCCAGGAGGAAGGTTCGTGTTTCATAGGAAAATAACCAAGTTGCTATTTTTTCGTTAATATTTCAAAAAAAATGTAGAATTTTCCAAAAAAAAATCAATGCTTTGCGTGTTATTTGATTTCATAATACTATGGTATATTGAAATAGCATTAAATAAAAAACTGATTACCGTAGCAACGCACCTTATTTATGTTAACAAATATCGAATTTAACGAATGTTCTAAAAGAAAAATCTACGATCTGAAGCTGGAACTCTTTCCTTCGGTCTGCAAGAGTGTTGAATTCCATTTAACTAACGACTAAGAATAGTCGGAAGCTGCGTGGATAAGATTAGATTAAAATAGCGACACTGCATTCTACAGCACTACCGTGACAGGCTTGACGAACTTACTCTGGTTTGCACCTCATTTTCAAAACAAATCTCGGAAAGCTTCTCGTACGATCACCGGGAAAGCTTTCAAGCTAATAACCCCACGTATTCGGGGCAACCCGCGCCCTCTCCGCCTACCCCCGCGAAACGAGTTTTCACTATAGATCAAAACGCCGCATTATCGGCGGAAAGGGTCTCACTCGATGCGAAAAATCAAGAGATCAAAGTTTGACCGACGAAGAGCTAAAATTAGCTCTACTTCGTTTGGCGCGCCGTCTCGAATGTTTCGCACAGGTAAACACGGCGACGTTGCCGCCTTTTCGTGTGCTGAAATCAAGTGACTTCTCGAGAATGGACGATATAAGGGCCAAGCCACAAAACTCTGCTTCTAATATTTCCCTTTGTCCCAAATGTCAAAAATTCCATATTGGTTGCCATTATAACATTATAAAATATTATAATACGACCAAAAAGATAGTGCAGTTATCGCGTTGAGAAGTAAGGTGTTTTAATAATAACCTTGCCTCTGCTCTTCTCTCTAATAATTTCCTTATTAAAGATATTAAGCGTTCCATCAAAAAATACACTTCACCACAACCTTCCAATAGCAATGAGTACGAAAGTAATCCTTCACTTGCCACTGTGGTCCTTCCTTACTTTCAAAACATCACTGACCACATATCAAAAGTTCTAAAGAAGTATAACGTCAAAACCAGATTTACCACTTGTCCAAAAATCTCTCAACATCTTCGGTCCGTCACAGACAAGATTCCATTCGAGATGCCAGGAGTTTGCAGCATTCCATGCATATGCGGCAAAGAACACCAACGACTAAGACAAATAAACCCATCAGTTGTTACCGAACACACTCATAAAACCCGACATAAAATTTTATTTGATAAAACTAAAATTCTTGGATGTAATCAGCTCTTCTACTTCACAACCAACAATGTTAACAGCGTTTTAAATTTGATTAAGCATTGATGCTGCGGGGTATTTTCAAATAAATAGAAGCCTTCGTATCAGATGATGTGTCGTTCTTAAGGGTTTAAAATTTAAATGGTTTTGGTTAGGCTAGGTTGGATTTTTTGGTAATTTTGGTTAGTTAGTTTTTTGTTAGGTTTGGTAAGTTTTGGTTAGTTTCTCTTATTTTTGGTTAGATTTTATTACTTATTTCGGTTAGTTAGTTTTTTGTTAGTTTTCTTGAGTTTTGTTTAGTTTTGGTTAGTTTTAAGATTTAACTATGTTAACAGATATAGTTGCCAGAAAAAGAAAAGCAGAAAAGTAAATAAATAGAAAAGAATTTCAGTAAACTGTTTGATGTTTGTAAGCAAACAAACCTAATTAACACGTAAATTACTTTACATTTGATTTGCAATTATTAAATTAATATCGAGGTTACGGCTTGCCATATGCCTCAGAGTGTATTGTTTTTTTTTCTTAAATCGGAAAAATTACGAATCTTCCTATTCGGCATGAAATGTCGGTAATACAAAACGCGAAATGCGGCAACAGCGCAATCAGTACGCAATCGTTCGGCGTTTCGACCGGCTATCTCTATCTAAACATCAATTTCGCCACAGCTGATTTTCAATGTTTTCCCGCGCGTGCTCGTGGACCCGTCCTAACCCCCCCCCCTGCCGTGCGCACCCGCGACCCGCTCTAACGAACTGAAGGGGATTATATTACTTCGGGATGATTAAACTTACTGCGGCTCAACCTACGAAAGAACCGATAAAGATGTTCGGGAAGATTTCTTCATTTTTATATATTTTCCGTGGCGGAAAATTTTAAGGCTACCGGACATTATTATTATTTAGTTCCATCATAATAGACAGATAGATTTTTATTATTTATTATTATTCTTTATTGACTGGTTTGGATTCATCAAAATATTTGAATGAAAATAATAAGATAATTTAGAATACATATTTTTTTCTAAAACTTTTGAAACTATAACTGATACGGGTCGGTAAATATTAGAATCAGACATTTCACCTTTCTTACAGATTGACACAATTTTAGACACTTCAATAAGCTCCGGATATAACAAAGTTTCGGCTTGAATTGTTTGGCACGCCTTTGGATTTTGGCGCGGCAGATACAACGACAATGTTGCCACATAGTTGTCACTGTTTACTGTATATTTAAGAAACGTGTAGAGTAATAAAACCACATTAGGTATGCAAAAGATTGACCCAAAGAATACTTAATCTGTTTTTATTGTTTAGCATTGATATAATTGCAAAATTCTTTGTTTTTATCAAGTACAGGTAGTATCGTCCGGGTTTGTTAATATGGGACACTTACACATTTTTACATCCTTTGAATGTGAACTTCTCTTATTGATATTTCCTGCTTTTTTAATTAGAGTTTATTCGATTTGCGTATTACGGATAATGTTTATAAATGTAACCATTATGGACAAGTGTGTATTTAAGCTTAAAACATTAAAACTTACCAATTCTGTTAAACGTGGACTGTTTGCTGAATGCAAGAAACGTTTGGGCTCAGGAGACCTTAGAAAGGTATTTGTCGCCACTAGAGGAACAAACAACAAAGTATCCTGATATGCTGTTAGTAAGCAGAAATCAAAGACTTCGAGTCAGAATATATCCCTTAATTAATTCAACTTCAAAGTAGTTAAGGAATTAAAGTACCTGTGATGACAGATGACAATCAAGTAGAACAAGATATTGAGCGTTATACTCTCTAATGGAGCAGATCCAAACTAATTTTGAAGATGTCTTACTCAATGGCAAATAAATAAACTTCCTGTATTTGAAAGAAAGGTGGTTAGACTGATTTCTAGACTCCAAAAAGAAGACAGGATTGACTGTACTGTTTGGAAGCGAATAAAAGGTCACAGATTAATAAAGGCAGGCCGAGGCAGAAAAAGATGGGCTCCAGCAGTGGGAAACGGAAGTACAAGATCGTATGTTCACAATTTCAGCCACTTTGCACGTTTTTTTTTTTTTTTTTTTTGAGACAGGAGCATTGGACGTGTTTTGTGTTCACGGCGATGCCGTAGTAGATCAAGGTTTTACCACAAGGTCGCACCGTCAATAAAGAGTATGATCTTGAAGTTATGCGCCGTTTGCCAGAAGCAATACGAAGAAAACGTCCGGAATTGTGGGCAAGAATCCATGGACTTTGCATCACAATAATGCACTCATCGTTGCTTGTGTTTTTGTTTAAAAACGAAACCACAATCATGCCTCAGCCACCACATTCACCGGATAGAGCCCCCCTGCGACTTTTTCCTGTTCTCAAAACACAAGAAACCAATGAAAGGGAGGATATACCAGAAAATGGTTCGGGGTTTGGAACAAGCGTCGGCACGTTCGGATAAGTAAATAAATACTTTTTGATAAAAGTTAAATAAAAGTCAATTTACTTTTCGAATACACCTCGTATTTGGCGATATTTTCATTAAAAAAAATGCAATTTTTTCAATTTAAATTTTATTATATATTTTTTAACTTGTTTTATTTAATAATTATCGAATTGTACATGGGAAACAAATGTCTTGCAAATACTTTGACTTATCCCAAAACATTAAATATAAACCATTATCTGCAAGTTCTTACTTTAACGGCGGGTAGAGTACGAATTAAATTATTGGGCCAAAATGGAGCAACGGCGGCAGCTTGTCGCTCCGCATAGACCCTCGAACAAATGGGGTCAGTTAAAAACGACAAAGGTTTTCTAATTTTTTTTAATGTCATCAAATCCTTACAAGAGGGATTTCGGGTTCAAGAAAAAATAATGTTTTTCCGAAAATCTTGTATCAGAAAACGCGTTACATCTGGCGCTATAACTCTTGCGTCAGTCATTTTTTCGATAATATACAGGGTGTATCTGTTACGGGAAAAAACCAAGGAGTGGGAGAATATTTAAATGAAACATTTCATGGCTGGTGGGAAGGTCGCGGCTGACGTTAACCGTGGTCCACAGATTTAAATATTTAAATAAATATGATTAAAAGAACTGAAACGTGTATCCTTCAAAGCGGAGGACACTTTCAGCAAGTTATCGAGTTTCTATGTTTCTATGTTCGACTTTTTATCAAAAAGGTTGTTATTAGTTTATAAACTGACAATTTTGTTAAGAATAGAACAGAAATATTAATAGTAAGTAGTGTTTTTTTTAAAGTAAGAATCGTTTATTATTTATCTTGTTGTTAGGATGTTATATTGTTTCATTAAAATTCTAAAAGCAAAAAGAACAGTTTTCTAATTTTTCTTTCTGAAGAACACTAGTTTGTAACTAAAAACTAGACATTTTATTTTTCATAAAAAAGGTCTCCATTTAACAGGTTCATTATAATTTTTAATTTAAGAGAAATCAGTGGCATACCATCAATGTCCAAAATTTACATTTGAAACACGTCCACTTTTTCTTGGGTTTTGTATTCTGGAGTATAATACGACCAAAAATATAGTGCATTTATTGCTTTGACGTTTTAAGTACACCTTCTCAGGACCTATAATGAGCTGCCGCTTTGGAGTAATAAACAGTGGGCAAAGTTAACCACGGGGTCGGTTGTCGGTTGTATTTCTGGTGGAAGTATAGCCAAGAATAAAGGTCTCCCTGTTTCGATTACTCTCGCGCGGCCGTGGCGCCATCTATCAGCGGACAGTCAACGCGTCGCACCATTCGACGCGGAAAACAGCAATCGAATCAGTCGGCGGTTCGATGGTCGCGTCGCTAGAGGACGCGGCAGTTGCTGCGGATTCCGCAAACGCGGGAGCTTCAGCTCGGCGGCTTTATTTATGGGGGAAGCTCCGAAAGCTCGGTTTCAGTAGAGCACGCGACGGGGGTGCGAGAAGAAGACGTCATGGCTTACTTTGACGTCCGAATCTTCGCGATCTACTTTGCGGCCGCCACCTTTTGCGGTCTCACCGAATCCAGAGCGGTGCGTATCTTAGATAGAATGTTATCGTCTTAAGTTACGTTCGATATTATGCGATGCGTTATTAATTCGTTAGAAATACCCATTTCCTCGGTAAAAAAGCAATTTTAGGCAATTAGAAGTTATGAAAATTTGCTGCATGGCCAGCGTCGGCGTTATCTATATAATTTATGTAGTTTAGCGTGTTAATTATTTAAATAAATTAACGTAATGGCAGTTAATAAATAATTATTAACCATCGTAAAATGCGCTGGTACATGTGCAAACGTTTAAAGGGTTACGTGTTGAGGTTGTAGCTTTTTTGCATCGTAATATTATTTTGTTGCTCTTTTTTCCAATGTACAGGGTGTTTCAAATTAAATGAGGAAAACAAAGTAAATAATTTTTATCCTGACAAGGAAAATATTACTGAAGTATATTTTAGAAAACAATTTCATATTATATTATGTATTATATTACATAATATAAAAGACTCCCAATTTAATCGAAAATTTATTATCTAATCATTTCATGACATTTTTTTTTAAATTTATAATTTATTTCAAAATTTTTGCATTCTATATTTTAATTATAATACTTGCCGTTTCCAAATAAACAAAAATATAAAATAAAATACAAAATGCGCCTAATTTATGTATAATCATATCGTCACATTTTTTTATTTTATATTTTATTTATAAACTTTTGCTTTCTTTATATTTTGATGTTTAATATAAAATATACCTAATTTAATAAAAAAATTATTATCTATTAATTTCATGATATATTTTTTTATGTTATATTTTATTTAAACATTTTGGCCTTCTATATTTTTTTTATAATACTTATCATTTCCAAATAAAAAAAAACCAAAATCAATGCATAACGAGATGAAAAAAATATTAGATATATATTTAATATTTAATATAAAATGCGCCTAATTTAATCAAAAGTTTATAATCTAATCATTTCATGATTTTTTTTATTTTATATTTTATTTAATAGTTTTGACTTCTGTATTTTTTTATAATACTTACCGTTTCCAAAAAAAAAACTAAAGCAATGCATAACGAGATTTTAAAAAAATGTTATATATATATTTAATATATAATATAAAATTCGCCTGATATATTTTTTTCTATTTTATATTATATATAAAAAAAATGGCCTCTTTGTTTTTTTATAATACTTATCGTTTCCAAATAGTTCCAAAGCAACACATAACGAGATAAAAAAGTTATTAGTTATTATATTCAATATATATCATATTGCCAATAATAAGCGTTTTAATTCACTGATGCAGAAATGGCTGATATGCATGCGCTGCTTTACATTTTTACATTTTTTTATTCGGAAAGTGTAAGAAAAAAATGCAAAAAATCTAATCTATCTAATGGGGTAAGTCCAATGCATCCCCCGCCCTGTTTATAAAAATATAAACAAAATATGCAAAAAAAGTGTTTTCACAGTAGTTCCACAGTATTATATTGCTCTATCTCTATTTTAGCGCGATATTTGCTTTCTTTTATTTGAAACAAGGAATCACTCGTAAGCGAAACGTTCTTTATCGCAGGAAAACAAAAACATAATACGTCAGGTACTAAAAAAAAAATCCAAAATTGCTTTTCGTCTTTTATTGTAATATTTTTCCATTTCCTTTGGGCTTACGTGGGTTGGAATATTCCGTATATGAAAACGATTTGTTTTTATTGAGATTTATTATGCGCTGGCAAAGCAAGGTTCGATTTTCCTCTCTTTAAATTTCATTTTCTTTTAGAAGCCGATTGTAGTTTTGAGAGAATATTTTTTTCATTTCATTTGGCGACGAAATTGTTGAATATAGACAACATATAATAATATAATATAATATATTTATATATTTATATAATTTTTTTATTTTATATAATATATTTATAATATAATATATTTGTTGGCCTCTCGATGTAATAGTTGTGAACATCACTGTCAAAATAAATTTGTCAGCTACTGATTCAAATATTTGATGTGTACATTAAAATCATAACAAAACAAACGGAAACATGAAACTGGCGTGGTGGTTACATTAATTTCCATACAATAGCGTCTATTTTTTCGATGGCACTGGATTCGTTTTAAATTTAATAATTTTAATTAATGCGTTTATTACTTTTGTGCGCGGAGATCGATCCATGGACCTTAAAAAAATCAAAAACTTTCCGAAATATGAATTGGACACACTCTTCAATGAAAGCACACAGACCACCAAAGACGCCTAGATGAACACTTAAACCTATCTTTCGAAGAAGGGAGCATAGACAAAGCAGCGCAGGAACAACGGCCAAAAAGCAATAAACTATGGTGGTCAGACGAAATTGAAAAGCAAATATACACGAAAAAGAAACTGTCCCTGAAATGGTTTAATACTAAATCCATAGCAGACAAGGAAGCATATAACAGAGCTAAGCGAGAAATACGAAATAAAATAAGTTGGCGGAAGAAGGTGCACAAAAGTATGGCGGTTTGTTAATAGAGTCAGATCATCTGGCGCTGAAAAAGTATCGTTTCAGAATATATCAGAACAACAGTAGATTCAGCACTACAAAGAACAGACAGAAACAAGGAGACAATATATTCAGCAGGAGATGCCAGTAAACATTGAAGGAGAACAAGGAAGGAAAATGGAAAGTCATGCTGACTAGATGGAATATACTGTGATTTATTAAAAAGCGGCACTGCGAAGCTAATGACAGCGTCAACACAGAATCTTTTAGAAGTGCCTGAATGGTCAGGAGCTTCTAGTCAATGGAAAGTGGCATATATATCGACCATCTACAAAAAAGGCCACAAAGTGTCAAAATTACAGTTACAGTTACGAGTTCAATTAGCTGATTATATGGATGGTTAATGTAGCTTATTCATTGATCTTTCGAAAGCTTATGATAATATAGGCGACCGCGGGCTCTGGGAATTATTGCAAGGCACTTTCATTAATCAAACTCTGTTAAAAGCTATGAAAAACCTTTATAATAACTACACTTCAAGAATAAAAACAGGAAATAAACTGTTCAGAGATTTCTGCGTAACAAAGAGGCTTCGCCACCAACGCTTTTTAAAATTTATGTTCAAGAAGCCTTACTAAAATGGAAACTAACAGGCGAAAAGCGGCCTTCTAAAATCCACCATCATACAAAAGTTACATTGAAAGCCTAGATGGTTTGCAAGGTGGTGTTCTTATCTTTCATCAGAAAAAACTGGACATTACGACGATTAACACGTGTTTGAAGAATGATTTGAATACACCAAGAAATAACACCGAGTAATGACACGCAGAAAAATTACCTACAAGTTCTTGGCCGAAGAATAAAATCATGCATTAGTTAGCTTTAAAAGATGCATTCAAATGCTGTAGAAAAAGAACTTATTGTATTTACCAGCTTGCATATACAGACATTTTAAAAATACTTCGATGATGTTACGGCGAAATGAAGGGAACTCGGCTTCCTCCTTTTCATTGTTAGACTGGTATGGGCACAATCAACAGGGGAAATTGCGAGAAAAAAGAAAAAAAATGATATGTGGAATTTTGAAAAATTAATCGATTCCCTTATAATTAATGTCGTCTATGGAACTTCCTCATAAGTACCAACTAACACCTAATCAAAGTTGGATAAAGCAATCTTTCGTCGAGTGGCTGCGAAAAAGGAATATTTCATTTCAGCCAAGTTTAATGAAAGACTAGCTATGGATGTTAGTGACGCAACACTTTCCAGAAAAACTGAACTGAATATCAAATTATTTCAAAACATCTTTTAAGAACGACCATCGTGTTTTGCCATTGCCATTTTAATGCGATGAATGTAGTTTGGTCAGACGATGGCTAGTTGGGAGTTTTTCAAAAATAAATCTGTCTAATTCATATCTGCTTTCTCCTACATGTTTGATGTTTTCTATTTTGTCCGTTCGTATACGTCATTGAACCATGGCATATATTATCATATAATTATTGTCTTTATAAAATTCTTCAATCCTACATCAGTCCTCGGACTCAGTTTGTAGAATTGAATTCTGCAAAATCTCAAACGACCCGCATCGCATCTGGAATTCCTCAAGGGTCCCATTTGGGACCATTGTTATTTTCACTGTTTATCGCGGATGTCAGTAAATGTTTTCTTTTTGCTAAATCAGCATCATACGCAGAAGATCAGAAATCATACGCCTTAACGACTGTCATAAGTTTCAAGAAGATCTTGATCGTTTTTATGAATGCTGTGTGAAAAATCGTCTATTTTTAAATATTGATAAATGTTACTGTCTTAAGTTCAGCAGGCGGATAAATGATATAAACTTTGACTACACATTCAATGGTGTAATAATAAAAAAAGTAGAGCAGATTAGGGATCTTGGAATAACTATAGATGTAAAATTAAGTTTTGATATCCACATTGAGAATATAGTAAAAAAAGCTTATAAAAATTTAGGTTTTATATTAAGAGTTAGCAAGGAATTTCAGGATCACAAATCGCTTATTTTCTATACAATTCCTACTTTCGATCTCACCTTGACTATGGCGGTGTGATATGGAGTCCTCAGTATCATAAATATATAGACAGAATCGAGAGAATACAAAAAAAGTTTGTTTTCCATTTAAATTTTAGATTTAACCGTAACTTACTAACTCATTCGTATGAAGCTAGTCTTAATTTCTACCATATACTGAAGTTATCTGTTAGAAGAATTATCTCCAGTGCTATATTTTTGCATAATATTATTAATAGTAGGATTGACTGTCCTTTACTGCTGGAAAAATTATCCTTCAATGCCAGAGTCGTTATAACAAGAACTCTTTCATTATTTTACGTGCCTAGATTTAATACAAACTTAGGTAACAATTCCCCAATATCTCTTTTTCATAGACATTACAATAATTATTTTTCGCACGTTGACATCTTTGCGTTATCACTTAATTCGTTTCGAAATCAAGCAATTAGGGTTTTTCTATAAATTTATTTTAATTTTTAATTTATTTTAATTTTTGATTTGTTTTC